GATCTTAGATCTTAGCCGTAGCCCATGAGTCCCAAACCCCTGGCCTAAGCTGTCCCGAGATCCTAAACCTCGGACAGCAAGCCCTGAACAGCACGTGCTGGCCCCCGAGCCACTTCCCGTGAACCGCGGCGATGAGCTGATGCTTGGTGAAGCATTGGTTCAAAAGTTTGTTGATGTTTCTGCAATTTCCAGGGTAGCTGGCACAACTATGCAGCTGTTACTTCAACTTGGGTGATTTTAGGCTTCAGCATTAGTACTGATAATGGCGAGTATAGTATAGGGGCCAGACGGGGTTGAAATGGGATTTTATTCGGCTTATATGGGGGTCTATATACATGTGGGGCTGTAGCGGAAATTGCGTCTAGTGAACCTAGATTCCCTTCATAAGTACCTATATATGCTATAAGCTGGCGCAAATAGACCTCAAAAGAATATTGGTTGTAATTCAGGCCCCTAAGGGATTTTCCATGGCAGATAGCCATCATCAGCCTCGCAGCACAATATCACATAACACCTGACCTTCATTCTTTCGTGGTTTGCAATCAGCTGCAGATATCCATGATCAGCCTCGCAGCACAATAGCGAATAACATTGATCGCATCCATCACAGCTGCCAGTATAAATCGGCTTTCATTTCTCAATGATTTGCGATTAATTCCTACAGATTCCGAAGCCTTGCTGTCATTCAGTGTTGTTGCTCGACACCTCATGTTCTTGTTATTGCTGCTACTCCTTTCCCCTCCTCACTTGACTACAGCGGAGAGATGCGGAGAGTACCACAAACCCTCGCATCACCACCACCACCACCACACCCTAAGCTCCAAACTCTTATCCACGCTACATCTACGAATCATTACCACTGCTGCTGCTCCTGCTGCTGCTACATTATTATCATTTCTAATATTAATATATGCTAATTAGTCTCACTATTTACGATGATTACTAGTCTGGTCACTACTACTTGGGTTCGAACAATCACCGCCGGTGCCGCCAGCACCAGCACCCAGCACTGGCCCCGGCCCCGGCCAGTATTACTCCCACTACCACTAGTATCCAGTACAATAATATGAATACTAAATCCCAAAATGGTAGTTTCCATTTTCTTTCCCATTATCCCTATATTCCCTATATAACCCCATTATAGCCCCTATATCCCACTACCACTAGTAATTAGTACTATAGTATCCCTCTATTGCTACCAGTAGGAAGCAGACTGAGGCTCATCAAGCGCATCCTTGAAGGCCGCACCACGGACTGGGTCCGGGCGCGGAGGGCTGCCACGGAGATCCGGAACCCGAACTACAGCACCAAGGACTGGGAAGGGTCTTGTGAAACTTTCACAGAACATGGAGCCATATATAGCAGCGCTCGCGGCTAGTAGCGCCCTGCGGCTTTTTGCGAGTTCATGCAAGGAAGGGTAGGGTTCTTAAAGTTGTTACTTGAGACGGTTGCAGGAGCTAAAGTGGCTGTACAGGGCAGTGGTCCGGTCAGCTTGCTTGTTGTGTGTTTTTGCTCGAAGACGACGAGCGTAATGTTGCGCGTTTCGTGTTTTATGATGTATGTTTGTTAAAGAAGCAAATTCAGAAGCGGGCAGGGGTTGTAAATGAGGGAAGACTGAAAACGGGTTCCCGGCATCACAAGATCATAGTTGTTCGTAAAAGTCATGGTTCGGGTTCTGCAGCACCAAGTCAGGGTAGAACTGTATGGAGATGTTTTCGGTTTTAGGATTTCAGGGTCTGTCCTATCGGACATGGCTTACAGCAGCGCTGGCACCAGCAACGTTGGAGTTGCTGGCGTGTAGGGCATTTTGATTGGCTTCAGATGCCGTCTTGGCTGTTGTAGTATAGGCCTGCGGAGTCTAAAGGGGTGTCCAGTGTGTTGTGGAAGGGTTCGAAGGAGTTTGTGGAAGGGTTCGAAGGAGTTTGTCGTCATAGCTTCACGGCATTTTGCTGAAGTGGCCAGTTCCCAGCGGCAACAGCATCGGGACTCTTAGAGATTGTTTCCTGCAGCAGCTGTATAGCATTGTAGCATATTATCGCGCTGGCAGCAGACGTGGTGCTATTGCAATAGACTACATTTTGTACCGCAGCCACTTCCGATTCTTGGTGCGAACCGCTCTTGTATCTCATTTGTTTCAGGCGAACGTTTATGTTTACATCTTATTGTTCACCGTGCTATAACTATAGTCTTCATTAGATGGACGCCCAGGCAAAACCCCGAGGTTTGAGGAACTGCCCACATTGACCTAGTTATTGCCTCGGAGGACTTTTACGCGGACATCAGTGCCCTGGACACAAGCTGCAAGAACTACGTGCGTTCTGTGTAGGATGAAGCGGGTGCTGTTGAAAGTCTGAAAGCGGACTTACGCATCGATTAGGTCCCTTAAACTGAGCTTGTATAATTTTGGGGAGTTCCAGGAGACATCAGTTGCAGGACTCCCATACCCTGCGGCCCTGAAGCAGCCTTCATGGATGATTTTGCGAGCTCGTCGTTGGTTTCGTAGAGATTTGAGGGGAGGTGCTACAGATTTGTCTGCTTTGACGCGTTGGTTTGTGAAAAGCCGGGGTTGCTCTCAGCGGTTCTCTGCGCCAATAGTTTGCGTACCGTGGAGATCCCAATGCCATACCTTCTCTTTCGCTACTTCCTGGCAAGCCGCAGGGAGTCCTTATCAAAATCCCTTGGTATGTATTTCAAAGCGACACCCTGCAGCCTTGCAGCCTGGAACGATGAAATTCTACTCTCCACAAGCCTAAATCCCAAGGCAAAGACCCTAAACGCTCCTCCTTTCAGGTGCAGCCTTTCCGGAGTTGCGCCTCTACCGCGTAGAGCGGGACAGCGGCAAAGTGATGCTGGAGCAGCAAGTCCTGGGAGCGGGGACCATTTGTGTGTGTTGCGGGCGGTCGCTCAAGAGTCATAGAGTCATAGAGGATTTGAAGAATATGTACAGGTGTTACATGCATGTATGGTGTGGGGCTGTCCGTGCACATACTTTGTGCAGCTTTGCGCAGCAAAATAGGTTGGATTAGTCATGCTTCTGCAAAAGCTCAACCAACACGTCCTGAATCTTGACAACTTAACAGTCAAGCATTCCAAATGCGCAGCCGCCTCAGCAAGTAGAATCGGAGGATTTGCCGCCAGCAAAAACTAGCCGTCACCACGCCAGTCGTCCTTAATCTACAGCAGTGTTGCAAATGACGTACTTGTTACATGACTATCCCAAATCCAGCCATGAAGACCATTAAGTCATTAAGTACTTCAGGAATTGGTATTCACCAGCAGAGTTCACTGAGGAAGCTGGGCTCAACTTCTGCCAGCCGCACCGGCGACGATGAATATCAGCGGACCATCGGTGCTGGGCATTGCACGCAGATTTCTTACTGTGACAGGGCCGTTTACGTGATGGCTTCTGCGAGTCCTGGGGCTGCTGTGTGTGTGTGTGTGCGTTTTAGGAAAAACTTCGAAGGTTGCGAGAAATCAAGAATACAGCACCTACAAATCCCTCGTGGGTTGTATGCAGGGCTCAGAAAGGTTTTCATGGGCTGTTTGTTTCGCTCGCTTGAAGCTGTCTTGGTTTTTTTAGGCAAGGGCACAATTATAGAGACTACGTCAAGAGCCGAGGGTAGGGGTCCCTGTTTCTAAGCTCCAAAATTTGGTGTTTGCGCATGTCGCCAATCAGCGGGGGCATGGGCAGCAGTCGTACTACTACTCCAAGCGCTACCATCACCACTGCTGCGAGTCTTCTGTCTCTGTGCAAACCCAAGCAGCAAAAACTCGTTTACATAACTATTGCCCGTCAGAACTAAGGTGCTCTGTTTTGCATATTCTGGATGATGCGGCTACACCTGGATGGCAAGGCCTGTGAGCCCAATTTGCTAGGGGATTGGGATGATTGCATAGGGATCAAGGACTGCTAGGGGGTATTTTACGGACCACGCTGGGTTTCCCAGAATGATGGGCATGCTGCGTGCCTACATAGAAGAAGAACTCCCATCTTGTGGAAAGCCGGGGACCACTCTGGGTAAGCTGCTGTGCTGATGTTGCGCGTATTACAGATCAGGGCTTAGAACTGAAGAATGGGGCCCCGGTGTCGCTTCCTCCGCTCTGCGGCTCAATGCACAGGGTCCAGGGGTCTAGGTCCAGCTTCAGCTAGGCTTAGCAGTTCAAGAGATGTAGTCCAAAAATTCGCATAGACGGTGAATACATGACCTCCAACCCCCAAAACTGCATCCGACACCGGATATACTTGAACCTCGCTGTGAGATTAGCATCAAGATGTACATGTTATGTGCCGCCCACAGGAGTGCTTCTGTTTCGGCTTAGACGCCGAGTGGAAACCTTGCCGCCGGGAGCATTTCCCTGAGGTCCGGGAGGCTCGAGGTGAGACGTGATAGGCTTCATTACATGTATGGGGCGTATGGCATGCAAGGTGTTCAATATTCACCTTCTGTTTCTATGCCCTGCATTGCTGACGTGACATCAGTCTTTGCCAGGTGGGGCTTGGGGCCTGATTTGGCATTAAAAGTCGCTGCAGTGGGTTCAGGATGCCAGGGCCCATGCCAGCTGCAGTTTGCGGACGAAAATGGCGATGCCCAAAAGAGTGCATTCCTTGTGCAAAATCCACTCCATACCCCTCTGCGTGGTTGGTGAGACAGGCCCAGGTAAGGATGGATTGCTATTAAAGATGTTCCCCAAAGTTCTACAGTCTACACCTGGGAAGCCTGTCGTCACGAAAGCTTGTCGCAGGCTGGTTCCATGCTTGTTCCCACACCGCCAGTGCCACCTCGTACTACTACTGCTGCTGCTGCTGCGCCTGCTACTACCACCACCACCACCACCACCACCACCACCACCACCACCACCACCACCACCACCACCACTGCTGCATTTGTTGCTTGGAGGCCCAGTTTGTGGACCACTTGGGTGTCTGATAGTCCTTGCAGCAGCTGCAGGCAGAGTTCCGAAAGAGGAAGTCCTTCTACGACAACACCAACTGGGATGCTATGGAAGACCTGCTGGTTGGGGCTGGCTTGCTGAACGAGGTGCCTATGGCACTGAACTTCAGAAATGAACCGACAAGAGTAAGAGGATACAGTGTAGCCGCCTGAAGTCCTACATGACCGTAGTCACGCTGACCAAAAGCTTAGTAACCAGGTTCATGCAGTGTCTTCTGGATTTGTGTCGAACTTTTCAAATTGCTGAAGCTTGAGGACACTCGAAGCAAAATTGATTGAAAGTGGAACTCCGCTTAATGAGCATGGTAGCATCCCTGGGTCCTAAAGCCTAAAAGCCACCTCATCTCTGAATTATTACGGAGTACCAAGGATCGCATCTCCTATGACGCGGTAGCTTGGCTTGACCCATGAGTGCTTCGCGAGTCAGTCAATTTGCATCAGGTTCATGCAAGCCAATATTACAATCACGTGGTCATGGTTTTGCAGGAGGGGCACAAAAAACCCTTCGGTCCAGTCTCCTACTACCAATGTCGGCCGACACGTCACCATTCTCAAGTGCGAGGGATGCTAACAGCCCTGCCAATGCGGACGGTCGACTGTTAATATTGGACTTCAGCCGCTGAGACCGCTGAGATGGAGAACCTCAGAAATGCTAAAACGCACGGCTTCCTGCCAGATGTCCAAAAAACACTAGTATCGTAGACGAGCTGCTCTTCGCAGCGTGAGACATGTTAAAGGGATCGTCCCTGCAGCTCCAGGCACACTCACAGGTAAAGGGCTTCCGTGTTCTTCCCACAGCAACCTTGAACTTTGAGCTGCTAGCTGCTAGCATTCAATCCTGAGGAGTAGTCATCGCAAAAGGAAACCATCGAGATTTTAGGGGCACCGGTCTGCAAGTGAAGCATGGATTCATCCATTTGCCCTGCGCGCTCAGGACCGAGCATTGACCATGCTGGTTCTGATGTCCATCCATGACATCATGAAGCTGGACTTGCTGAGGCAGGGATCTCTCCATGTCATGAGGCATCGTCCGGTGGCGATTTAGTTCAGCACATCTTCACACACTGCTCAGGTAAAGGCGCCTTTTCAAAGCTAGAATGCGGTTGAGTCAGAATACGTGTCAGAACCCTTGGCTCGATATTGCAACAGACAGGATTTACTTCTGCGTCTATGGTTCCTGGTTCATGTGGATGTGTGCCAAGATTTTGGATCTATGTGCATACAGAAGCAGTTCAACGCTGCTTACAAGTGCCTACATGATGTAGCCAGACTTCCTGAACCGCTTTGCGTGAACAATGTTGGCTTTCGGACAAGTGGCCGCCGGAACTACATCAATGATTACTGCCAGGGCTGCTGTTCACTTACAGACGTGTGCAATTATTCTCAAATTTCACAACCGTATCCCAAAAAGGTGTAGTCCTCATGAGGCTCTTTAAAAGGAGATTTGCTGTAATTTTGAGAAACCACCATGCACCCTCAAGTTGTGGCTTGGGATATGTGCGTGGTTCGCGAACTCGAGCACAAGCCCTATGCTACCTGATCCTCATGGGGGGGCCTTGTCATCCTCTTGCGTCATCCTCCTGCAATCTCAACACATCTAGAGCACGCCTGCTTTGAGACAGCCTCATCGCTCTCTACTGCGATGAAACTATCAACGAATCTCCCGATCCCAAACCAAAAGCCCCAGAACCCGAAACCTTATATACCTATATAGAACCCGATATCTCTTCAACATCCCTATATATACAAGTTTCACCCAAAGGGTCCATGTAGGTATATAGTTTATACCTAGGCCCCAAATTGGACCCTAGGTATAGGCAGGCCTACATGGACCCTTTGGGTCACAGAGCCCAAACATGCGAGGCCCATTGCCACGGAGGATTTCCGCGGCTACGAAGCCGGAGATCCGATCAGAGCCCGGGCTTATCGTTTAGGGTTTAGGGTTCAGGGGTTTAGGGGTTTAGGGTTTAGGGGTGTAGGGTTTAGGGGTTTAGGGTTTAGGGGTTTAGTAGGGCCATGCACGCGAGTCGGCGCTCTGTGGCGTCTGCCCAAAAGAGTTTCTCAGCTCTCTTGCAAAGAGGGAATGGTCCAGTGTGGTCTTAGGGCGGCATGGTCGGGGGTATTAAATAGTGTTGGAAAGTACTGTTTGATCATAAGTTCAATCCAATATGGGAACTGCATACCACGCCGACGCCCTTGGCTGAAAGAGTTTAGGGTTTGGGGTTTCCACAGGTATAAACTTATGCTTCATTGGGAAAACATGGGGGCTTTCCCAAATTTAGACGTACTTTTAAAAGAGGGGTGTAAGGAGAATATCTACGTATAGGAATGTGTAGGGATATATGATCTATATAGAGTTTAGGGTTCCCAAAACTAGAGGTACTTTTCGGGGGTTCCCCAGTACAAGGATTATAGAATAGTATTTGGGGTTAAGAAATTGGGGTCCTTTAATGGAATCTGCCATATAATGAGATTGGGTTCCTCCTTTGGGATTGCACAGGATTGTTGAAAAGACTCCTATCTGGTTTCCTAGAAATATAGGGTTTTTCTGGATGGAGAAGCCTCAGTACTGGGTGGAAAATAGATGGAGGGTTTAGTTTCGGGGTTCGGGTTTAAGGATTTTTGCGCAGGTCTTTAGGTTGACGGGTTCCTTTGTGCAGGGGTTGGGAGGCTGAGGTCAGAGTTCCTGTATAGCGATTTACAGGGATGATGTGGATATGTGGGGTATAGGCTTGAGCACTTTGTGGTGGCTGAGGAGGTTGCTGGGAGTTGTTTCAGTACAGGTTGATAAGTATGCGCACGGTTCATCAGCACTATGGGTGAGGATACGTAGGTTCTATCTACCCTATGTTCTGATTTTGAGCTGTTGCTGCAGTTGTTTTGCTTCAGCAAGTTCATTTGGTATTGGCCATTTTTGTGTGGTGTGAGACTACGCCCTACTCTCAAGGGCGCTCTTGAGTGCGCTGTAAGGCTATGGGCTCCTGTTGGGGGTCTGCGTCCGTTTGGGGGAAGATGCTTGCGCTCTGTAGAGTCTAGTAGTGTTTGAAGGCAGCTGGGTATCAAATTGAGGTGGAAACGGTACAAGACCGGTTGAGACTGGAAATGACATCCAGTTGAGAGCGCTGACTTCTGTTCTGCAGTGCCTTCTAAGGTGCTCACAAAACACTTCCCGTGTTTCAGAAAGCTGTAAACTCATGTCGATCAAGCTGGGCGTGGCTCAGTTCTGCCTGCTTTAAGTTCGTGCCAAATTTCTTGTGTTCTGACTGGTGCAGAGGCACTATAAAGCATGATGGGCGTGATAAGGATAGTGTGAGTCAAGAGCCTCGTGGCTTGTTGGAGACTGTTTCCGTGTTGATGGTTTTAGCCTTGATGTGCGCTACAGTGTTTAGATTTCAGCTCTTAGATTTTGGGTTCAGATGGCCCAATACAAGTCACTGCGACTTGTAAAAAGTCGTGCGTGGCATCGGCTTTGGGTCTGCAATGTTGCTCAGGTGATCATGATGTGGCGCTAAGCTACGTCCTTGAACGTTACTCGCTCGCACCTGCATAACCAAAACTTCAGGGCTTGGTGTAGGACATTGCCAGCACATGCCAGGCAGCCCTAAATCTGAAGCACGAGGTACGTGTTTTGTATAAGGTATAGGAGTACACTGCGGTGGACAGTTTCAAGATAGAGTACCTTCGCAGAGGATGTTGTACCATGTTTCTTCTTGCGTGCAGGCAACCCAACCTTGAAATGCTTGGTGAAAGTGCCATTAACCAGCCCACACTCCGCATTGGCCTGGCATACAAGCCTGAAGGTCGTCACCCCTACATACTAGGCGGGCTTATTTTCTTGGAAGATGTCTGAGCTCCGGTGCATGACATAGCAACCAATATCCCTCAGCCCTAAACGCCTAAACCCCCATCCCTAAAACCTCAACCCTAAACCCCTAAACCCTCAACCCTAGACCCCTCAACCGCTAAACCTCTAAACCCTTAACCCTAAATCCCCAACCCTAAATCCCCAAACCCTCAACTCCTAAACCTTCAACTCCTAAACCCCCTCAATCCGATCGTAAGTCGACCTGAGGCTACCCGAAGGCTTTGCCTTCCTTTGCAGGCCGGAGCTGCGCAAGGGCTCATCCTGGTTTTGGGTTTTGGGTCTAGGGTTTGGGGGTTTTAGGGTTTTAGGGTTTAGGGTTTTAGGGTTTAGGCTTTAGGGTTGAGGCTTAGTGTTTAGGGAGGATGGATTCTCTTTGTAAGTGTATACCAACAGCTAGAGAGAGAGAGAGAGAGAGATATATATATAGATAGATAGATAGATAGATAGATACAAACAATCATAGCGCAGGCATGGACGTGACATGGAAACAGGGGTGGGGTGTGTCGGGCTTTATAGGGTTTTGGTGAACGCCCCAATATCGGAGAAGCAGAAGAAATGGAAAATGACATGGAATGTGGAGCTAGCAGTGTAGGCGCCCACTCTGTTAGACTGTTCTGCACAGCATTCTGACGGAATGAGCTTGCGTTCCTTGGTTCACGGGTCATGCAGGACTGGAGCCAAGCCCAGATACAGACCCTAAACCCTTAACCTTAAATAGTAGCTTCCTTTTTTAAAAAAAAATCCCAGTATAACCCCCTATATACCCCCCCAATATAACCCCTGAATTGTCCTACTGTTAGGAGGCGCGTGGCTTGATTTGATCAGGGTGGGTTGGGATGGGGCGTCTTGGTTTTCTGGACGTTTGGATGCCATGCTTAAAGGGAATTGCAGGGGCGTAGGATTCAAAGCTTATGCCGTTCTACTGTACTCGTACTGTTCAGTAGCGCATCTTGACGAAAACGATGTCGTCATTTAGCCGCGCATGCTTGACTGCCAAGGTTGCTGAACAATGAGACCTGTTCCACCAGGTCCTGTAGAGCAGTTGCAGCAAATCACTGACTTCATTGCTACGTCTGTGTTCTCCAATCTTGCATTAGCATGTCTGTGAGTTGGAGCACAGAAGCATGTGATCACCCACATAACCGTCGTCAACGCATAGGATGTCTCTGAGTTGAAGTAAAAATGGAGGTGATAACCCACGTGACTTCCGCAAGCACATTTCTGGGCCCCTAAAAAGCATGGAAGGCAACATCATGCAGTAGAGAGAACAGCCGGAGGCCTGAGCGATGAGCAGCAGTCCAGCATCAAGTTTGCCCATTGCCTTTGGGCGGCCAATGACCATTTTGCAGGTATGTTTGGAGCACCGGCATCCGAAACATGAATTCAGATTTCGCGATATGTACGAAGGCAGCATGGAAGCTGCCAAGAATGAGCATTTCATAGGAAAGGGCACCGGAAGCTTGTACTGCCGCAACTACGTATGTAGCATACGACGTAGCCTGGCCCAAGGTTGCATAATGATGACGGGAAGGGTATTGAACATGATGAGGTAAAGAAACCTCTACATTGCTTACGGACTGCAAACTAGAAACGAGCATGTAACTACGGCCTGGTTTATGTTCCTCATTTCGCTTCACGCGTGCTCGGGGGACCTCCACTCCACTGAATAGCCAGATGAGCCTGTGGTGCCCAGAAGGTCAGGACTAGCTTTCACAGCACTTCGTTTTTCAGATCCCATACAGAGGCAGCAACAGATCATTGGTGCAAACGCATGCAACATGTTTTTTACTTACCACTCATGGAGGCAAAGCTGCTATGACAGCAATACGTGGCAACGCCAAGTTAGGGACTAAAGGAGCCTCATGCTTGCACCGCACTTCTGACCAACAACTCATACAGTAGAGGCTCACTGGCTGGGACGTGGGCCGATTCCAAATAGCTTGTCCAACGTAAAATGGAGGAATTTGCATGGTAGCTCAGGCAAGCTCGAGTACAACATGGGCTGGCTGGTGCAGGCATGGCCGCCACAACTTAAGCTCATGGACGCTAATGTAGGGTCTTCCTGAAACATCTGATGCTGACGAAAGCTGCAGAGACATGCTTGCCGTGCAGTTGGGAGCGGCAGCGTGCTGTTCATGACTGGTTGCGTTGCAGGCTTCCCTGAAGATCCATTTTTTTACGCCACTTGATGAGACATGTTCTGACTGTTTGCACGGCGTCCACTTGCAACGTCCATTGTGATTTTACGAGGCACTACTTCCTGTCAATATGAAACCAATGTGGCATTTCGTGATTGCCCAAAAAATCCCCCTGCAAACATTATGAATCTGCTTCTTTCCCAGCTTTCCCCAGACGAGGGGGGGTACTGAAAGCAAGATGGTTCTTTGATAAATTCCTGTATCTGACCATATCTGCTCTGCTATGCTACTGATGGTTGCGAGCTCGACAAACATCGGACAGAGTATCGTCTCTCCCCGCCTGGCGTTGTGGTGGCTCTATGGCGTCCTCTTCGCCACGATTCCGTGATTCATTTCACTTTCCACTCAAGAAATTGCTCCCCAATGAAGGCAGATTCAGGGACCCCTGATCTGAGTAGTTCCTCTGAACGCCTTGAGCTATGTGTAGCCGGTGACTGTTTGTTTTGTCTTCAGGCAGAAGCGCCTCCCGGCGCTCTCTTCAGCTCCTTTCGTGAGGCCACGGATTCAGGGAGTACAGGGCAGGTCAAATTATTTGAGGTTACTTCCTCCAAGCCTGCATGGGAGTAGGTGACGGAGATGGGCTGCATGTTTTGTTGATTTGTTTTGTTTTTGTTTTGTTTGGCCCTGGCGTGTATGTGGGCGCGGGCAATCTTCTTGGTCCCTGCTTTAGAAGTACAAAGGCGTTTAAAGGCATGAAATTCTGCGTGTGGGGTCTGTGAAGACAGTTCACACATGCGAATGTGATCTATCAATGTTTCAGCTCTGCCTGTGCCGACGTCAGAACACGTGACATGGGAACAGACGTTATGTGTTTCTTCCATGATATTTCCGCCAGAGTCCTAGTCGTCCAAAGTGGCGTTTCTGATAAGCTTGAAACATCAATAATACTAACAATGGTAACAACAACAGTAATAAGACTAAGAATACCAATGATAATAATAATACTACAGAAAGGAAAATGATAATAATATTAGTTCTAACAGCCAGATTGAGAACAAAGCTCGAGCTGAAAGCCGTCATTTGCAGGCTGCAAACCATGGAACCTCCTGAGGCTATGTAGGGATAATGGAAAAGAAAACGGAAACTACTACTGAGGATTTTAGAGGTTTAGGATTTCGGGTCTGGGTTCAGGGCATAAGACTGAATCAGCCTTCATACGCCTGTAAGCATGTTTAAGTTTATCTACAGAAAGTTTCGATCCCACTTTACATGCCGATTCCTCAGGTCACCGTGAACTCCTCAAACCAACCCTGACGCCTTGCATACCCTAAACACTACACCTTATACTGGGTTGTTGTTAAGGACCTTAAATTAAGTTACCATCCTGGGTATATATATATATGTATTAATTACTATGGCTTCCCCAATATAGTAACTTAAGTTATGTTTCTTAACAGCAACTCAGAAAACTCCAAGCCACTCTGAACAGGTGGTCCTTTCTGGCGAAGCCAAAGGCTGCCAGGTGGGCCGTAGGGGCGTGAAGGAATGCTTGAGGTTGGGCACTGCCCCCACTCAGTTACACATTATATAGGGATTATAGACTATATAGTCTCAGTTTCCATTTGATTTTCCGTGTTCTTTTCCTTTTGGTTATCCATTATTATTTGGGGCACTACCCAAGCTTGAGGATTTAACTGCCTAGGTGTGGGTTAAGGAAGTGCTTATTAGTGGGAACCTTTGCAGTTAAGGGTATAGGGCTTAAGGTTTAGGGTTTAGGGTCAGGCAAAAGGCGTTGCCCAATGCCTTGCTCAGCAGATTTTTGCACAAAGTCCGTCGGGAAGCATGTAAAAACCATCAATTTCTGTCCGCCCTGGTGTGCTGGGAGCCAGGACTACTTTCAAATACTAGCAGGTGCTTTTCAAGTTTGTAGGATGTAGCTGCAGATGAAATGTTGTCAGGCCGCCTCCGACATAGCATCTTGGCTGGGATACATATGGGGGTGTCTGGGGGTCCCTATGATAAGGAAAATGTCATTTTTAAGTTTAGGGTCTATAGTGGGGTCCCCTTATTTAGGGAAACTATCGCATATTTCCTGAGCATGAAGCTGGTTGTTAGCTGGCGGCGCCAACAAATATGGTGAATGAGTTGGGTTATTCCCCCTCACAGCCACTGTTCTATAAGGATTTTTCTTGAGGGCCCATTGTATCTCTTATTGCCCACGGCGGAAACTGTAACTGTATAGGGGAATGACTTGAAGAAAGAGAGGGAATGGGTGGTTAACCCTCGCGGTCTGAAGACTTGGCTGTAAATAAACCCTAAACCCAGGCGAGCTGCATGGCCCATTGGGGATGTCTTACAAGCCTTGGATAATGGCCCAGTTCGGCCCATGGATTCTGCCAGTCCTCATGGGTGCCTGGTCCTTACAAATTCTGACGAAGTTTGGCAGAAGCAGTCAAAACTCCAAGCGTCGGAGCTTCCAAAGATGGAGTCCTTCACATAAGTTGGGCCTCTTGCTTTGAGCCCATGGACTTGTTTTAAACTACCGTTCCCAAACCGTGGGTCCTCCACATGGAATCATTCCAAGACCCTGAGCCCAAATGAGCTAGCGTCTGAACTCCTTAAACGGAATTATATACGGAACTATAATATGGGTGACTAGGGGGGATACTAGGAGTTTAGACTATAGCTCATATAGCTCCAACTGAGGCCTTTTACTTCTGCCACTGGTTCGCCGACCTGGCAGGTGCAGAAGCATCCCCAATGCAGGGATGTCGCTTGGCTGACTGTTGAGTGACCTTGCGATGTATAGACTTGACTGTTGGTACTTCTGCTTGGAGAATATTGCGGAAAAAAGATTCGCACTTGCCGGAAGTCGGGCATTTTTGCTGCGCCCAAATACACAGACCTTATGCCAAAGTCCGAAAAGCCTACTCCTTGTCATTATGTCGTCACACAGACAGCTTGCACGAACAGCGCTAGACGTAGACAGCGCAGAAAGGTTCGTCCATGATGGTTCCCTAGACCCTATAAACCTTATCCCTTGGGCTTCCATACCTGCCTCAAGCTCAGGTGAGAAGTTTGTGCTGAAGTTTCCGCAGCATGTGCTGGGCCAAGCAGTCTGCGCATGTATCTCATGCGTCTGCACGGGGTTTCACAGCGGTGCAAAGGTGTTTTGGCGCCATTTTGCCATTTTCATAAACAGCTTACAGCAAGACTGTCTTGGAGTTCTCTGAGCTCGATGACACCTCAAACCTCCGAAGCATTCATGCTATATGGTACTCTATCATTACGGCAAGTAGCGGTGCCCGCAAGGTGGCCACCTAAGTCACAACCGTGGACTGTGTGTTGGGATGGTGTCTTTGTACTGCGGCCTCAGACAAATGTGGGCTGAAGTGCCCTTCAACCGCAGGACCGACGGCCTTTCCACATTGAGCACGCCACTGCGATTATGCTATGCTTCATCCCAAGAAGTAAGTCGGTGTCGTTCAACGGGGAGTCTCTGGCTTTAGCGTAACAGCAGCCCTGGAACATAGAGGTGAAAAGCATATACATTTATCCAGCGCTTTCGTCCGCTTGCATGTGGACAGTCTCTCCACCAAGCCTCTCCACCCATTCGGAGCAGCCTGTGAGCTTCCATTCCTGCATTCGCCAAAATCTTGGGATCTCATTTTGGGAGTTGCTCCAGTAGTGGATGTAATGTGTTCGGAGTGTGCAGACCCAAATCCTTCGACCGTCTCTTAACAGGTGCTTGGCAACTTCCTCAACTCCTTTCCGGTAGTCTGGCAGCTGGGCCCAAAGACCGAGACAGAGGCTGGGCTTGTTGTGAGGTGACAGGGCACGGAGGGGAGGAGTGGCTTGCGCCTGGCATTCTGCCTGAATTAGGAACCCCACATGTCACGGAGGTTGGCTTTTTTAGGTTGGTGGCGCTGTAGCACACCCTGGGCAGGTCTACGAGGACTATCTTCTCTGGCGATGGTCACAGTTCGGACTCCCTGGAGCTGCCCCAACCGGAAGCTAAGCTTTGGCCGGAGTTCGTGGGAGCTCTGCATCTTAGAGGTTTGGGGTGCCGTGATTCTCACAATGCCATGCTTCCGAGCGCTTCGTGTGGGGAATGGCCCGATGGAGCTGGTCCGGACAGGCTTAGAACCCCAGGCTTTGGAAGCGCCCATCTAGGAAGGCTCTGCCACTGTCGCCTGATAAGCACCTGGAGACCTCGATTGGCTGCCAAACCCTAAGCCTAAACAGCTCGCGAGGTCGCTACCAGCCCAATCATACCAAAACTGGTGGCAGTCCGGATGGACATCTTCACATAAGAAATGGGAGCCACCATATACTATATTAGTTTCCATTTTATTTTCCATTATCCCAATATTACCCCAACATATTATACTAGTTTCCATGGATAAAAGAAAAGCCTTGAGTAAGCCACCTCAGCTTCTGAGCATTCAGTTTGAATTCTGTTAGGGGGGCCCATGCTGGAAGGTAACCCCCCTGTGAAAAGAACTGTGATAGTTGGGCACATGCGGCCCTACAAAGGGATTTCTGGAACTCTCCTCCCCCCGTGGAAGACAGCACTGGAGATTCTCCTTTTAAACCTGTGGTTATCCCTGAAACCCTGAAGCCTAGGCCTGAGTTTGGAAGCCCTTAACCTGAACCTTAAACCGTTCTAATCCGTGGATTTTCTACCCAAGGAGCTGGAGCAGTGGCTCAGATCCGGCTGGCTATGATGGCTCAGGGGGACAGCGCAGATGCTTGAAGGATTTACTGTCTCCCAAACTAACATGCTCCCCCAAACGAACATGGAGTCTTCCAAATTTAGGTATTTTGATTCCTAGGATATCTTGGAATCATGCGTGGATGAGAGGCCCCTTCGGTTTGGGGTGTTTTCAAATCAGAAACTCTCATGTGGGACCAGAAATTCCAAAAGGTTTGCATAGAGCGGAGGGCTAAAACCTAACCCCTAAACCTAAGCATTCAGGGCTGCCCTATTCCCTGAACCACATTCCAGAGCTAGTCCCCAAATGGCATAGACAGCCAAGGAAGTCCTGAAGCAGCTTCTCGGCGACAAGCACAATCCGGCGAAAGAGCTTACAGTAATAGATGATAAATATATGTGATATATGAATATCCCTGGGTCTGTTGATTTCGAAGTCCTTGGATTCAACGGTTTAAAGCCTCAGGCTGCGCAAGCTTTGGGTGTGTTGGTCGCTGCCTTGAAGGTGCATGCTGCGCTTGTTCTTGTTCATATGCCTGCAAGTTGTGCTTTACAAGGCTCGGGTGGGAACCTTGGCGGTCCCTGAGAACTAGGCTACATATGAATTACTGAGTACGATATATTCATGCGCGGGATAGGTTGGCATCATTTTCCAAAGCTTTCTCCCATGCACTCAGTGGTCCGAAAGGGCTTCCTTCGAGAAAAAAAGCAGCTTTGGAAGGCAGGTTGTCGGATCAGTTAGACCTTCGCTACGGTCCCACAGGTTTGCAAGCTGAACCTGCCTGAGACAAATGATAATGGATGAGTGCAAAGGATAGCGGAGAACCGAGAGGCTGAATTGACTAGGTAACTTGTCCCAAGGCTGTACTACCTGTGGCGCCTTCCAGTGTCAACTCAACAGCGATCAAGAGGAGTTGTGAAAAAGGGCTCCACCCAAAGCACCCCAAAAAGCCTAGTATAAGGCCTACAGTCGCATGCGACCCTTAAATTTACCCTAACCCCATGGCAAACCTTATAAACCCTACACCAAAAAGTCCATTCTGCGTAGTTAATTGTGAGCCATCTTGTCTGACCTTGAAGCTCTGAACTGACCCTGCGTTTGAGACCCCAGGACACGCCGAAACCAGCATCAAAATCCCATAATTCTACAGACAACAGAGCCGAAAACTCTGGAACCCATAGTCCTTGACCCCGCCGCCTGTAACCGGACCCGCAAGGCCCATCCTCATCTCCTAATGCTGGTGTTCGTCTCTTTCGGGACACCTTAGATTTGTTTTGAGGTGGATAGACCGCGGAAAGCTTGCAAGGTGAGAAGGAACACTAGGTGCTCGTCTTTGCCCCTCGAAATCCCAGGTTCCATCGACTCACCAGCGCGGACCAGTCCGTTTTGAGCCAGGAGCTAGCTCTCACAGGCTGCGCTTGGGGTTTGGCGGTAGCTGGTCTGACTAGAGTATTATGTTTGGAGAGTGCATGCTGTGGGGTTGCCCTGGAATCATGTCTCTCTTCTGCCATTCCGTACCACTTGTTGAGTGCCCTCATAAAGGCTCATGTGATGAGATGATGATGTGATCCATACTTGACGGATCAAGCCCTCGCTGGGCACGGCTACGCATCGGCATTTTCTTGGACACAGCCAAAAAAGCATTTGGGAGGTGAAGAGTGCTAGCTTGGCCTAGGTTTTGACGGTTTACTTCCAGTTTCAAACTCCACGGTTCAGTGACTTCAAACAACATTGGCTCCGGCGGGGAGCCTTAATTCCTAAAGCGTAACGGCTGTGCAATACGGCAGGACAGCGTGGCACCAGAATTTTTTGACGCTGCACCATTGTGAAGTAGGTGGCACTGAGTCCTTAGCATGTATGGAAAGATTCCTTTGATAGATGGTGCCAGGAAATCAGGCGGTACCCATTCGTGTTAGAGGTGACAGTACACAGCATGTAGCCTTCCCCAATGTATGTTACACAGAAGACTGTGTTCGTGCAAGTCTCGACTTCAATGTCTCATAGTCATAGCAACTGCCCAAACCTGGCTCCATGAAGATGCGGCAGTCATGGAAAGGGTGCCAACGACCTGTTTCCTATCAGGTGGAGCATTCCTTTGAACGCCCCTGCAGACCCTTGGACCCTGTGGCTGCAACCAAATCTTTGGACGTCTGACCTTGACCCGAGCCTTGCAATGAAGCCTTGATCGGATTTGCCCGGTTTTGGCCGCAGGCTGCATATCTCAGAAGTTCCGCATGGACGGCGCCTTTGAGACCCGCGGTCCTGCACTGTTGCTGCCCCTCGGTGGGCATGCAGCGAAGGCTCTACAGCAAAGTTGGGCTTGAATTGCGTTACTCCTGAGGTTCATGAGGGTCGTGTGATTTCTGCGGAACCAGCAGTGAGGTTTGTAGGTCTATTAGTGCTATTTCAACCCAAGATCGAAGGCGCTGAGTGTCAGGATGGTGTTCTGCAAGTGAGTATGGCTTGTGACCTCTTGTCCGCATGTCCCGGCATGCACGAGGATCCGAGGTAGAAAAGCGGGACATCACTTGCAGCCGGCAAACCTGAATTTTCGACAAGCACCATCACAAGGACCTATTCCGAAGTAGGGACACAACTTAAACGCGACATCTCAAACCCGATGTCACAACATGAGCTGCCGGCCCAGCGCCAGAATGTAGCCCTTTGGGTTCATGTTTTCTTTGTACAGCCCGCGTTGGGGGGTTGGTGGCCAAGGTACTACTCCCCTGCACTCATGCAAAAAGCTGGCCGCACGGCTCCATTGCAAGCCATGCACATCCTCGCAGAGGCCAGGGTCTCACATGCAATCAGGAAATTAATCAGAAGGAGTTTCTAAAGGACTTTATGAGAATTTATTCGTACGCATGCACAGTCCCAACGAAGAAGGCCTGAAGAGAAAGGTGCTTATGGTTCCAATTCCTGCCGACAACTTGCCTTCAATGTCCTGCACAACCTTAATCCGAAGTTGCCCAAGAACAACTTTAAATTTTGGACAGTCTGGACAGAGTCGCAATTGCACACTACCACTATCGCTGATGGTACTTTACTACTATTATTACGGTATTTTTATCAATATCGGTATTACCTATAATTGTTGTTATCTCTGATATTATTCTCCATGTTTTTTTACTAATATCATTATTATTGTTAACATTCTTACTAGTATTACTTCTACATGACAGCAACGATGACTTGACCGAACATACACAAGTCAACAGCGGGCCATGTCAGAAGCATCCCAACTCCAAGCGCTTCTTCAAGCTTGATCTGGGAGGGAGATTCCCAGCTTACAGGGGATATGTGTATATATATATATGTATATATAGAGGGATATGAAGGGCTTAGGGTGTTCAAAAATTAGGGGTACCTTTTTTTGAGGGCGGGTCCATAACATGGGTTATAGTACTTTGGGGTCTATATTATATTGAGGTTCCCTTACTTGGAGAAATCTTCATTTTCTAAGTGGTAACAATGCTTGTGTAAAACAGCCCCCACAACTAGAAGGAAACCCCAACAAGGAGTTCCCCACCCCAATCAGATGTCGAGGGACACCGAGGACGTTGCTTGCCTCAGGGAGCTCCCGAAGCCTTAGCAGTCAGTATATGTGATTCCCCCAAAAAATTCAAACGATCTACAAATGTCAGGCCGTTAGTATTATCTGGACCCACAAAGTATGCCATTTTTCGACTAATTGTTACCTGCTTCTGCGGTCCAGGTACCAGCTATCCATACATGACCCTTATACACCCAAATTCGCGATGAGCTCCAAGGCAACATCTCGCAACTCATGCAATTCATAATCCCCTCCTGCGCGTCATAAATACCCCCAATATAGTTATATGTATATATATAGGTATATATATATATATATAGAAATGTATTTGTAGATGTTCTTTTAAAAAGACATTTTTTGGTCACGGGGTGGGGAGGCTTAGTCTGAGCCTTTGAACCCTACAAAAGGTAGTATCCATGTGGTTCTTCATTTCCCTATAGAATCCCTTTTCTTAAGGGATGGGGATTACGGGGAAGTCGCCAGGTGTTTCGAAAAGCACGAATTTTGTGGCCACTGACTTCTGCGGACGCAGATAAGACGGTGGTGGTCCGAATCCAGACGGCTTGGGAAGTTGTACGAGCATTCAACCTTGACAGGAACATATAGATATCACATTGTGTGTATATGCGCGCCAATTTGCACATGTATTGACTCAAAATATTGACGATGATTATGCAAGTGTACATAGGCATACGATTTTTTCGGAGGTGTGTATCTATACTCATGTACGGACAGATCTACATATATACATATGTACATATATGGCTGGGGTTTGCTACGACGAGTATGAAGCTAATATGTTCCGAGTCGGGCTTCCTTGGAGGCTTGGGATATGTACGCCGCTGCAATCAGAGTAGGGCACAACAAGCATATTGCAAAGGTAATTGTTATGGCTCCATAGCAGTGATAAGGTGATATGCCTATACCTGCAAGAGCAGCATTCTGAGGTGCAGCTGTTGTATCCAGGCTTTGTATTGCCACGCATGACGTAGGTGAACATCAAGCACGAATGCCTGATATTCCGGTGGACTAACCTGTAGCAGTTCCCTATGTTAATGCTGGTGTTTCTGTCCTGCCTGCATGTCTCCCACTGCTGCACTTAATCAACCCGGAGCTGTTGCAACACCATAGTAGCCTGCGTAGGTTGATTCCAGGTTCCGTGCGCCTGTGGTCATAAGCTGCCTTCAGCAAACAACAACAAAGTGTCCACGCATAACTTCAGTACTGCATCAAGGAATCGATGTGCTGAAGGACCTGCAGTCATGGTGTCGGAATGTCATGGGAGGGCTTTCCTGCTTGTTGCTTTAGCTTTCACAGTGTGGACATCGAAGACAGTCTTCTCAATCATCAGGTTCTTTCAGCGCCGCCTTTCATGATAGGGAGTCCTATGATTCTGGGGCCACATTTCCTGTACTGTCTGGTCTTCTGTAGTGGCCATTGCGTAGGATGCCTTCCATGTGTGGCAAGGGCTCAATGTGTCACGCGTGGTTATGTACAGTTCTTCCACGCGCCCACATGAGCTAGAGTCTAAACTCCTTGAAGCAGTGGAATAGGATTGACATGCCTGACGCTTAACTCCAGCCCAGAGAGTCCATGAGTTCGAAACGAGAGTCCATGAGTTCGAAACATCAGCCCGCATACAAAGTCCTGCATGTAAGCTTGCACCAATCCGCTCAAACAATCCGACATAGACGGACTTGTTGTTGACCGGGGTTTCTGCTCGAGCCATTAGCCTGATGCGTGAGAGGACTTGGAAGCCTCTGCCATCGTCGGAACTCAAGGCGC